TGCTGACTTGGAAGCACTTCAAAGATTTCCATTCTTCAGAGTGGCTGTCTCAACTGCTACTACAGGGAGTTTTTAATGTTTTCTGATTATGGAGCAGCATTTATTATTATGCCTTTTAAGATAGGGCAACTTAATCATACATACTTTTTTTTTTAAGTATATAAACGAGTCAGATACACTGGGATTGACAAAACTGCTAAGACTTTACTAATGTATTGCTACAAAGAACAGAAAATCAGAAGAAGGCATCTGGGCAGGTTTGGCAGGTTTTTAAATTATTTTGTTTTGTTTTGTTTTTTTTTCCTCCCCATTCCTTCTTGAGACAAATACAGAGTTCTGCACTGGGCACACTATCAAATTCTCTGGTCTAGCATATGGCTTATCAAGTCATCTTTCTTGTGCTTTTAAACTTTTCCTCCTGTTCCCATCTTCCCCCCTTCCCCCCCCACTGTCTTTGTTCTTGTGCACAATTTATTATCTCCTTTCTGTCTGTCTTCCTGTCCCAGGCTTACTCAACTCATTGTATCTTCTGATGCCAGGAAAGATGCCGTTGGTTTGCCAGATGGTGTTAAGAGGTGCCGATATTATCACAAACACCAGTTGCCTGGATTTGCTGTAAGCCTGTTGATGCATTTGCCAGTTTGCTGCTGTTCTCAGTGAAAGTCCATTCTGCATTTTATTCTACGACTTTTTTTTTGTTTTATTTTTTCCCATAGGGTGCTTTTTATGTTTGAATTTGTCTGGCATTACAGATAGTTAATATTCTGGGGCTGCTTGTTGACAGGTGACAGAGTGTAAATTACAATGTTGGTTTTTAACTCCAAGCTTAAAACAAATGCAGGTAGATAACTCTCTACACAGTGTAGGTGTGAACGCCTTTCCCAGGATAATTGTGGTTGCTAAGAGTTTGCGTAAGTTCAAAAGTGGCTAGGCAAATATACAGGAGCAAAATCAACTAAGATCTAAAAAGCCTTCCAAAGACATCATGGCCAGATTATGAAATCTCTGGACTACACATTGCTGGAGTCCGAGTCTGCTCTGGAAGTTTGAGCACTGTGTTTTTGCTGTGGTCTTATACTCTTCCCTCGACCACTGTTGGCCACAGGTTACCAGACTAGTTGGACTTTCAGCTTAAGCTGGTGCAGCTGCTCTGTTCTGAGCTGGCTTATTAACTTGGTGTTTAGAATACGTGTTTCCCATTTCACTCCCATTTTATCTATGATTAAAATATAGGGATATAGGACTACAGTCATGTCCAGGTCACTTTTTTTAGACCCTTTCCTCATTGGCAACTGAGCCTAACAGTCCCAACTTAAGCAATTCAGGCTCCCTTTTCAAAGTCGTTAGGTTGTTCGTCCCATTGCTGCCAAGAAGATGTTTCAGAGCTTCATTTTCCAGTGCTTAAAACCCATGCTTTAATTTCCAGTTAAAATTTATTCGTATCCATTTTATATCCATTTGTCCTTGTGCCAACTTTGTTCTTCAGCTTAAGTATCTCTCTGCCTTCCTCAGTATTTACTTCTTCCCCACCCAGTGTGTCTATGGAGAACAATCCAGTCACCTCTTAACCGTCATTTTGCTAAGGTGACAAAATTGTGATCTTTAAGACTTCACATGAGATATGTCTCTGTTACCATGATTTTTTCCTTAGCACTTTTCTACACAGTTCCTTCTGTGTACTGCACACAGTTGTTCAGGTGAAGCCTTGTATGAAAACACTCCTGCTTTCCCTTCTCCAATGGCACTGGCTTTCCTGAGACCTGATCTGTCCTTTTCATGGTTGTGTCACCCTGCTAGGTCATACTTGTCCTTATCCTCTAATGGGCTCATATATCCAGGGTGTCCTTCTACTCATTTCCAAATTATGAGCCCCTGCTCATAACAGCAATTCTTATTAAACCCCAAATGTGTAACCTTGCACTTTGACTATCACATTTCATCACATTTCTATTGCTTCAGAACTCAAGAACATCCTGTTACTCCTGAAAGGTATTCTGAACTCACTGCTATTGGCAATAGCTCCTGACTTCACATGGTCAGCAGATTTTGTTAGTATACTCTGACTTTTTGTGCCAAGGTCATTAATGGAAAGATAAAATAAGATCAGTCTCAAAACATCCTTGAGGACTTTCACACATAACTTCCCTCCAGACTAATAATTCCTATTTCAGCACAACTCCTGTCATTGCCTTTTTTTAACCAGTTCCTTACTCACATTGCAATTCTTACACTAATCCCTGTGTTCTCCAACTTGGCTAATAATTTCCACGTGGCACCATACCAAATGCTGTATTGAAGTACAGATAAATTAGATCTACCACATTTCCCTTGTCTAGAAAAATCAGTTGTCTTATCAAAGAAAGATATCAAGTTAGAATGGCTTGATCTATTCTTGGTGAATCCATTTTATCCCTTAAACCTATTTTATCTGTTTTGCAGTTTACCCTCATGTGATTAATTATTTCTTCTTCCAAAATTTGTTCTAAAGCAATGCATACTGTTGAGGCCAGTCTGCTGGCTCTGCATCTGCTTATGACTAACTGTAGAGTACATGGTGTAGGAAGTACAGAACATTGCATATTGCCTATGACAAAACCCTTGTGATGAATTGCAGCACTTGAAGAGATGCAATGTACTAGTTTGGTTCCGCTTGATTTTATTGCAGTACTATGTACAGGCATGGACTGAGATGAGGATGTGTTTAGGCTGTTAGCCTGGGATGTGGGAAATCCAGTGAGCTACCTCTGCAAGCCTGTAACTTTTTATTTTTTTCCAGAAGTAGGTGATGATTATAAAAATTTCTGATTGTGTTGGGATCTGGGTGATACTTCTTTTAATTTTGGGTTTGTTGGTTTGTTTTTTTTTGTTTTTTTTTTTTTTTCAGGATGCATCTAAATTTTCCATCCCACAGTGTCATCTGGGTGGATTTACATCTTTGATAGTCTTGGGTTTCTCAGCTTTACAAGTGGAGCAGTTGCAAACCGTTCCTACCAGGTCACATCAAAAACACAAATAGCTCTTATCCCTTGGAACAGCTCCCTCCAAGCCTGGAGAAGAGAAGTAACCAGGGGTGGTTAAGGCTATTGAAGGATCAGCTGTGGTATGGTCAGGAAGAGTTTAGGTCTTCTGGGGCAAGTGTGATGAGGGATTGAGAGAATGGGACTCAAAGATAGTAGGAATAGGAGATTACACTGTCTAAGAACATGGTTTGGGTGGTCTGAGGTCCTCTGAGGATGAATGAAGTTGTCTGTAAGAATTTGAGAACTTAGTTACTGATTGGTTGGTTGGTTGATGACATTATGACAATGGCATGGCTCTACTGAAACTCTTTGAAATGCTTATAAGCACCCTTAAAATGAACCAGATTACTACAGAAAATCCTTAGATCTCTTCTTGGAGAAGAGATCTGGTCCTTCCTTCATTGCTCTGCTGTTCTGGCATGTAATTGAGACATTACCTTTAGCCTGCAAGCGTAGGTACATAATATAGTCTCCTTTACAAGATACATACTTGAATGTAAGCTCTGGGAGATGCTCTGGATGGAATTTTAACTGCTTAGAGCTGTTTACTTTGTACCAAACTTTAAACTTGGGGAAAAACTAAGTGATCGGTGGCTGTAGTGTATCCCTTTTCTGAGCGTGCCAAATAGCTGGTGGATGACAATATTCCTCCCACCAGCTGAAAGAGTGCTGTTTAGGTGAAATTAAAGCAGCAATGAAAGCATGACTGTCCTTCCACTGGTGAGATTTTTAGCTACTGTTTTCCTGTTCTGTCTGTATTTGTGTGTGTTTCTTTTGCAGTTTGGTTGTAATGCTGTTGTTGAACTCTGACAAATTCATTCTGAAAGAATGACATTAGATAGGGATGTTGACCCAACATTAGTAAGAATCGGCTCTTGAATCTTTCTTAGCCTCAGCTGCTGTTAGGACACAGAATGAACAACAGCTTGATAACAAAAATATTTATTTCTTGCTGCAGGATAATTACCTCAGTATGGAAGTTAATATGATTTTATTTGGGGATTGGTTTTTAAAGAGATTATATTTTAAGGAATCCTTGAACATGGAGAGTTTTGTAGCTGTATTTATTTAATCAGTTGCGGGCACTTGCAACTTCACAGCAGTAAGTCAGGTTAGAACATGGATCTACTTGCTCCAGCAGAACGACTGGAGAGAGGAAAAAAAAAGGAGGTTATACCACATGAGAGAGAAACTTACCTCCAGATGGTGGGGAGCAAGGATGTTGTGGCTCAACTTTTCAAGCTACAAATGTTGGTGACCAACTCCCATTCAAACTAGGGCTATGCTGATTCAGGCAGACTGAGTTGCTTACCTCCACATTGAAATAAAGCAGAAAGTCAACAGAAATCTCTGTGTATATCTTCCCTCTAACTCCTTAATCTCTAAGCTCTATTGGGCAAGTGGTCTTACTGCACAGGTTTATTATCTCTCTTATAAGTGTGGACCTTTACATGGCACTGCAATACCAAGATATTGCTGTAATTAAAATAAATTAAATATTCTTTTCTGTTAAAGCTGGTGAGGGATGAAGCTTGTTTTGGGAAAATAGAGAAGGGAGTGGAAATCAACTGGAAATATTGACATGGATGTCCCAGCTTGATGTGGAAATTATCTACTAATGTAGACAGAAAAACGGGTGTCTGGAGCAGGCATGTGCTGAGTCTTTGACACAAAAAAAGTTGCTCTGGGCCAACAGTTTAAAGACTTGCTCATTACTTTGGATATGTGAGTGTTTCTTTACATTTAATGGTCACTACAAATCAGTGTAACACTAAAGCTAGAGGGCTAATGGTCTTTTAGAATAACTGAGTCAGCTGCAGAGGCTGGATCCTCTGCTGGTGTAAAACACTGCAGTTCTGTCAAAGTCCATCATAAGCTGTCAATTTAGACCAGCTGGGAAGCCTGTCCCAGAAGACTGTGAGGATGAAGGTTACAAAAATTATTGAAGAAATGACATCTCCATCTCTCTTCTTTCTCCAGGGCAGCCATTGAGGCTCTGGCAGCTTTGCTGAAATCAAGTAAGCTTTTTTCTCTTCATATTCTTTCTCACTTTCCTTTCTGTGCTGTGCTGCTGGACAGAATGATCCTGTTGAACTTCATTCTCCCTCGGTGTCCCCTCTTCCCTCAGTCCCAAAGAGCAGTGCTTAGAAAAGAGAGACAGTAATGCTGTAATTTTCTGTATGTCTAGCTATGATTGTTGGAGCCTCACGGCTCTGTAGACACACAACTCCATGGGAGATGGCGCTTTAGGTCCAAAGGAGCAAGCTGCTGAGGAAACCAGACTAGACCCTCATTTTGAGTATTTAGGGAACAGTGGTTGTCCTGGGGCTTGGCACAGTGGAAGAAATGGGGAATCTCTCCAGCCTGCAACCGATCCCTGTTGCTCTGTTCCAGCATCTCTGCAGAGTGAGGCCAGGACCTGTCTGTCCTGTGACGCTGTTGTACTATGTGCTTGCCTGATAAAAAGGATGCTGTTGGCAAAGTCTTGGAGAACTTCTGCAGTCCAAAAGAGATGACTTTATTCTCTCTTGCAAGCTTGTCAGGCCTGATGATGTACAGACAGGGCCAAGACCTAGTGATTGCTGGGGTGCAACCCTGCCACATCAGGCTGAGCTTAACATTTGCACCAGCTGGTTTGTAGGAGTGTTGAAGCCCTTAACATGGATTCTCAGTTGCATGCTGCTGGCATGACTCTTCCTGAAATGAACGTGCTACCCTTTTTTTGCCTTTATCACATCCAAAAACACTTAGCTTTTTATTACCAGACTTTAATAAAGCTTTGATTAAGAAAGAGCACTCTACTATTGCAGACAATCTACTCTACAATAAATCACAATGGCATATTGTCCTTCTCTCTCTCTCTCTCTCTCTCTTCCTCTCCTCCTTCTGCTTTTCATAGCACTAGGAAAAAATGCATTTGTGCAAACCTGTCGCTGTGGAAGCAGCGCTTACATGAGTGTGCTACAATGGGATTGTGTCTGAGTTGCAGCAGCTCAGATGAAGAATTCTGAAATAATGCCTCAGTGCAAACCTTACTGCCGAAATTTAAAGGTCACTTTATTGCAACAAGGAAAGACCTTCTGGTTTGGGTACTAAATCTTAATAAGGGGGTTGTGGGGCTGTGGCACAGCTGCTTGCAGTACAAAAACAAAATTAGGCTTCATAGTAGAGAGGAACTTATAGAGGAGCTGGAAAAATGGAGCAAGAGCTGAAACCTCATCTGGCAGCTTGAGCTTTTCTCCTGTGCTTTTGTTTTATGGTAAATACTAGGAATGGGAAGTTAAATTCTGTTATCCCAAGACATTTATAGGATAAGCTTTCTACTTGGATGGTTGTTCTGGGTCTAGACAGGAGAATATTATATAGAAGTGTAGGACTAATTAATACCAAGGGAAACTGAAATGTAGTCTCCTGGGGAGTTGTAAACACATGTTGTAAAAGTTGAGGGTGGAAGCTGAGGATGATCTAGGGAATCTAAAAGAACTGGATTCAACTCCAAATTATCCCAGCTCTTTTTTTCCTGGAGTGAGATGAGTTTTGTTTCCTGTGTATGGTTTTTTGTGGGGTGTTTTTGTTGTTGGGTTTTTTGGGGTTTGGTTTTGTTTTGTTTTTTTAAAAAGCCATTTACTCTTAGAAATTTCCTGTTGACTTTTCTCAGCCAACTTAAGTTGTGAAGGCATCTTGGTTGGTTCTTCCTTTTATGCTTTTTGTGCTTTAGGAAATGGTGTTTTCAGCTGATGTGCTTTTAAGGCACTGGAACTGGGACTTGGGAAATGGTGCCAGTGCTGTGCAACCAAATAGAGCTCCACAGCCCACAAGTCAGCTTGAATGAGGTTTTCTGACATTTTCTGCAGTCTAATGCAGAGTGGTCAAGAATGTCTTTTAGTTTTCTCCTTGTCCTGTGGCTCAGGACATGAGAAGCTCCAGGCTTTTGGAGTAGACTAGTTGGGTAGCTGCATACAAATGAGCAGGCTGTGCCTTTTGGGAGGTGTAGGTTAGGAGATGTGAAAAACAGCTTTAGTTCTTCCAGAGATAAATTCACCATGTCTGGAAAATAGATAAATTATTTCATGATTGTGTCAGGACAGCATTGTTGGGCATAAATAAGTTAATTGTGACAATGACCTTAGTGCTTCTGAAGGGTGCAGGAGTCCTTAGAAAGTTAAAAATCAAATCTGGTCAATGCTATAGCACTTGAAAATTGCTTATGAAAACAAGGAATGGAACTATACACACAAAGCAGCCAGAAGCCCTTTAGCATGTTTTTGAGATGCAAACTAAATGAGAGGCAGGAATCCTGGAATGTGCTACAGTGCTGAATTGCTGGACTGATTATTATGAGCTTTGTTGGGGACTTGCAGTAATGCACTTGCTGGGAAATGGTGCTGAAATTCAGTATTGTTGGGGGTGAAAGCTATAAAACAGAGAGGGTAAGAACACACCCATTCTTGAGGGTCTCCCTGTAGGGCTGGTGTATCCTTCAGTGTGTCAGCCCAAAGCGATCATGAGGGTTATGCTTATACTTGGATTTGTGCTGAAGAGAATATGTCCCTCTCTCTTTTGGCAGCGGGCTGCAATGGGAAAGAACACGGTAGTTTTAAAGGGAGCAGGCAGATGGCAGTGTGTCTCCCTGATGGATTTGGAAACATCCATCTTCAGCTCCTCAGACTTCCTTAAGCTCTGCTTGAGACTTTGTCCACCTGCAGAACCAGGGGCTGGCTAGAAACGTTTTGGCCTCTGTCACTTTCCTAACAGAAGCTGATGTTAAATGCCCACTTAACAAGTGCATAACTGTGAGAAGCAAAATCTGCCAGGAAAAAAGGCATCAGGGTAAGGAAATATTACCACTCCAGCTGTCCCTGGGAAACTCTTGCTGTTGTGTTTCAGAGGGGAAAGAACAAGATTGTCCAAAGAAATAAGTGATGGGGCACTACAAACTTGTACTTCATCCACAAAAGGGAAGAAACGCTTAGAAACCCAGTGCAGGATGAGAGTGACCTTGGTTGTCCTGTTCCCCAGTACATAGTGGAAATCGGTGATAGACATAGAGATGGCGAATAGTGGAGGAATAGACACTTGGATCGCTTCTAACAACAGTGCTACATCTTTCTATCAGTGGAAGCTCAGATTACTGTTATAGATAAGATGTTTCTCACCTGGCTATTGGCCAGTTTCTCACTCCTTACTTCTTACCCCTTTCCAAACATGCCAGACTACTTCACCAGTCTTCACATGCTACTCTCCCAGTTGCTGTTCTCTACCTGCCATGCACACAGCAAACAGCTTGTAATAAGTCTTTCCTCCATTGCCTTGTTTTGTTTTTTTTTATATCTGTTGTCTCTCCACTGTGCTGTTAACTCCCTCTGACTGAACTACATTGTTATACAGGCTGAACACGTTGCTTGGCAAATATCTATAATGGTGCTGAAATGTCATGAGAGCATCAGGAGTCTTTTATTCTTCTCTTGGATGTTGCAGTCAAGATTTCCAGTGCTATACCTGTCCATCCTTCTTTCTTAAATTTCTAGATGCTTACTACAGCCCAGGGTAGGGATCTGGGGGAGGTGTAGATACTGATAGCTAGACATAAACTGAGGTGGGATGAGGCCCAGTATCCTTCCCAGAGTTTTTCCTCTGTCCCAGGGTATACCTGCTACTCTTTCTAGTTTTCTTTGTTTTTTTTCTACTTCTCTGTACATTTGACTTCATATCTTGCTCCAGTTCTATCTTATGGCCTGGGGAGCACATCATTAATATGTCCTTTGCCTGTGAGAAGCCCAGGTATGGAGAGGGCGTACCCTAACTGGAGCCTGTGTGAGCAGCAGTGGAAGGTCAGGACTGCTGTCCACCTCTTAGCCATGGGTTCTTGCTCATCCCCCAAAAACAAGCCAGAGAAACCATTCCCATTTTTAGGGGAGTGGAAGAAAACTGGATAACTGATATGTAAGTGCAGACAAGTGCATATCTAGGGGTTTGCAGGCTGAAGGCAGTGTGATTGGCCCAAAGCAGATACTGCTGCTCAGCACCTTGAACCACATGATGGCAATGTTATTATAGGGATCCCTGCTCCCATCGGTGCTTAATCCAATATTTATTTTTGGTGAGTAATTTGTTTATCAGCAGGTTATTTTAATCTAATTTTGGTTGTATTTGTTATTCCTGGCTATCTGTACTTCCCAGAATTAACAGCATGCATGTCTTTAAGGAAATTAGCTCGAGCTGATCTCAGGGGCATTAACTCAGCGGATATTGAAGGAAAGGGCTAGGGAAATGGGCAGGGCCCTTGTTGCAATGCTTGCTTAGTAAAACTGTAATGAGCAATTTAAAAAGACAGGTTGTGGTGACCTCCTGATTGTGCTTATTTCATCAGGACAATTCTGTGTGCTAACAGCAGTTATTGCTGATGGCCTTTCCTCTCTCTTTCTATATCTTTTCCTTCCTTCATTTGTTGTCTTTATCCTCTTGTCTTCCCTTTTTTCCCCTCAGCCTTTCATCTCTCACTTCCTGCTCTTTCCTCCTCATCTTCCATCAACTAACCTTTATTTAACCTTTAACCTGCTGTTTTTTTTGGTTTTTTTTATCAAAACATAAGGATTATGTTTTGTGGCTGGTGCGATAAAATAAGCAGATCATGTTTTCTGAAGGGCTTGCACCTTCTATGTCTGAATTCATCATGCTTTACAACAGATCTACTGATGCAGGTCTCTGATTTTGTGTTAAAATAACCCTATGGTTAAAACATCTCAGTTCCTGTAGCCAACAGCACAATGTTTGTGATTTGTCTAATATTTTGCCAGCTACCTATTTCTCATGATCAGTTTATGGCTTCATTACCCACCTCAGGATTCAAACTCCATTATCAGTCTAGCCCCAGATCTATCATCACAACTTGTAGGGTATTGTAATTAGAGTTGAATTTTGCAAAGAGTTTCTTTCATCATAATGTAAACCAAATTCCATATCTATCCTTTTTTCCTGAATTTCAGAATGCAAATAATCTTGTTTCTTTATTTTTAAG